GCTACAGAAATAGTATTTCCAGTCAGCACAGAAATGGTATGAGCTTCATCATGTAGGGCATGACGATCCAGCTAAAATTAAACATTTGTGAATCCTGTTTATTACCATAGATTAGCTGAACACATGCTTAAGTCTTCACTGCTGATGTAAACAGAACATTAAAATGCTTCATGTCATCTTGATTCTACCCAGAGTTTACAACTTCAGCTATGATCTATGGCTGGCCTAAAGGTGCCATTTGTTTGCTAACCATTCTCAGCAGAAGCAGTCACTAGCATTAGCCTTATAACTTGGGCACCTCCAACGTCTTCCTCCAATGTCTCATGCAAAATCTTGTTAAAAGATATTAACTGAAAATCTATACAGTGGTGCCTCGCATAGCGAACGCTTCGCTATGCGATGAAACCACACAACGATGGGTCCCAGGCCATCGCTGGAGCGTTCGCTCAGCGATGGCCCCTATGGGCTTTTTTCGCTATGCGATGATCGCGCAGACGCGATCAAAGCATAGCGAACAGCTGATCGACGGTTCCAAAATGGCCACCGCTAAAACAAAATGGCAACCGCTGTTTTGCCTCGCTAACGAGGCATCCAAAATGGCCGCCGCAATGGAGAAAACTCTCAGAACGATGAGTTTTAAGTCCATAGGAACGTATTAAATCAGTTTTAATACGTTCCTATGGACTTTTTTGTTTCACTTAATGATGGATTCGCTGAGCGAGGGTTAATCCGGAACGGATTAACCTCGCTAAGCGAGGCACCACTGTACTTATTCCAGAGTATAGGGAAAGTTGGAATTTGGATTACAACTAGTGCGCCATCTGCACTAATTCCCATTGAGGTCTGATCAGGCCATGGTAACACATGCCTTAGTTACATCCTTGCTGGATTACTGTAACATGCTCTATATGGGATTGCCTCTATAAAACCCTAAACAGATTGAATCGAAGCTATCTCAAGGACTGCATCTGCCTTTATGAGCCTGCTTGGGTGTCAAGATCATCAGGGGAGGCCTTTCTCTCAGTCCCACCACTTTCACCAGGTGTGTTTGGTGGGAGCACAGGAGAAGGCCTTCTCAGTTGCTGCTCCCAGACTTTGGAACTCCCTCCCACAGGAAGCCAGGCTGGGCCCATCTTTGCTGTCCTTCTGCAAGTAGGTGAAGACCTTTCTCTTCAGGCAGGCTTTTCCTCAGTGACTGAGTGGGGTTATTAAACAGATGGCTATGGAGTTTAAAATGTGTTTTTGGTGCTACTTTTGCTTACTGTCTTTTAGTGTGTTATTTCTTTTATCCTTTTCAGTATTTGTATACTTACTGTTTTTGCTTTATATTGTATTTTAATGATGTAAGCCATCTTGGCTCCTTCTTACGGAGAAATGAGGGTGTTTTGTTTTTTTTAATACTACTACTCCTCAATGCAACTCTCAGAAGCCTCCAGCCAGCATGACATATTCTGGGAGAAGTTTGGGGAGCTTAAAGAAAAAGGTAGCATTTATAAAGGATCATTTATATATTTCTATTTTTTATTTTTTCTTTCTTCTCTATCTCAACACTGGGATGAACCCTTCAATGTAAAAATCGATTCTAAAAATGTAACTACTAAAATGCATGCCAGTGGAATCTGAATCAAAATAGCCCTTTGACAGCTTAACCTGGAGAATATAGAAAGAAACGGTGAAATGGGTACATCTACTCCTGTTTGCTATCTCTTAATGCATGAGGTAAGCAACATTTTTAGTTCAGAACCAAATGGGAGAGCAAAGGAAAGGCAGTTGTTAAGAGAAAGCACAAGTTCAGACTAAATTGCTTAAATTAAATGCCTGAAAGAGATTTTGTTTTAGGGACTCCATCTGATCCCATGCCCTTTGCCGACACTGTTGTGGCAGCCTGTTGCAATAGTAAACAGGAGAAGTGGAATCACCTGCTGTTCGGGCCTCTTCTGCTACCTAGGCACAGCGGGAGAAGGAAGGGTGTGAGGATGGAGTTTCAGTCATCACAGGGTGAATTTCCTGGCTTATGTCACCACCTCACCATTACTTAAAAGATAATTTTTCTTGTCTGGGACTGTAGGAACCTGGGAGTTAAATCACTTGGCATTTCATATGGAGGAACGCTCTGGCTTAAATTTCCCTTTACAAGAGCAAAGATTTGACAAGTTTGGCAGCTGAGCTCATGCATTAATATGTTTCTCGGGGTGATGGTGGAGGGAAAGTATGGACGGTATAATTCCTTTCACAGGCCACACAACAGAAATAATTTCAAGGAGGGCTTCTCTTCATGATATTTCATGTTGCATATGAGAACAATCCCCCATCATGAGGGAAAAGGGATGTAGGAATGCAATTCCTCCTGTTGCCAGCAGGAGCTGCAGGTTGATGGAAAGTGTGTGTGTGTTGCGGAAAATATCGCCTGTAAGCAACACAGTTGCTCTCTTTCCTAACCATTTGCTTCAAGAGCAAACTGGACATTGTGCAGGGGATGTGTGAATCAGCCCCCAACCTTCTCTTTGTCTATCTCAGGAGAAGGATGGTGCTGCAGGTCATGCAGTTAACGTTTACCTACTAAGGCATTTTTCTGTTCCAAACAATGCTTTTGTTTTATTTATTTATTTACAACATTTATATCCTGTACTATATTGGAAAACCTCAGGGCTCAGTATAAGAAGAGCTAGAAGTAATAAGTAATGGACAGTTAAAACCTGTGACATTAACACAAGTACTGATCAGGCCTCCAAAGTAAATGCATTCCACAGGCAAGGTACTACAGCCGAGAAAGCCCTCTACCGAATCTCCAGATAGTATACTGTTCTCAGTAGTGGCCTATGGCAGAAACTTTACCCATGGTAAACCTTAATGAACATGCAGGTATATATGGGAAGAGGCACTCCTTCAAATATCCAGGTCTTAAGCTGTTTAGTTTAGAGTTTTGTAAATCATTATCACCAGCGAGGAGCCACCGCCGAGAAGGCCCGGTGTTTTGTAAATCATTATCACCACCCAGAAGAGGACTGTGCTTTTCTTTCAGAACCAGTGTCATCAGGATTCTGAAAGATGTTCCTGTCCCCAGTTTAGCTGCTATGTATTTCATTCAAAAGGAGGGGCAGAGCATTTTTATAGCACTCAATCCCAAACCTCCTAATCACCTCTGTCCTGGATATGAAACACCATGGGGGGGTGCAGAATGGAACCTTGCATCCGCATACGGATTAATTGCCATGCGACTGAGCATAAGTCCTTCAATGGCACACAGTGGAATCAGCTCTCCAAGTAGGGATGGAATTACTATAGCCATGTGTTTTATATTCACATTCTACAGAGTCCGTCTAAGAAAATACAGCAATGGTTCCAAAAGCTGCTGAGAAATCTAATGAGATTGATAAGCCCTCATTCTCCTTGTTTTCACCACGGAGAAGTCATCGGTTAGGGCTACAAAAGCTGTTGTAGTTCCAGCCCCTGGGATGAAACCAAAATGAAACAAGTCCGGGTGATCTGTTCCCTACAGGAAGATTTGAAGCTGCTCATGCTTCACATGCTTATATCTGACTTAGTGTTACTCTCAACCTATTGTCTTGTCCAAAAAGGAGATATTTGTTGTGGGATCCAGAGAGGTACCCTTAGGAGAGAGCACGGAATTACTTCTCTCAAAGTGGCAGTTACCATGACAGGGCATTTGGCAACTCTTGGACCCGCCCAATTAATCTATCTCAAACTTACACATGCTGGCATTGACTGACACTGTAACATCTGTGGCACCAAGTTCTAAGTGAGTGTGATGACTGTGTCTTCAAAGGGCCTAGCAAATTTATCACAGCATGTAGTAAATTTCACTGACAGGAGAAAATATATAGACACTAACTCTTCTATTCTTCTGCCCCATGACTTTCCATCCCTTCATACTATTTTGTCAGCCTTTCATACTTTTTTCTTCTTCAAAATACTACAGTGTGAAATAATCCAGCAAACTATTGCCTTCAGCTAGGTCAAAACGTAGTGATGAGCAAATTCCTAATTGCTCGAACAGGACAGACTGAAATATTTCTCAAGAGGGTGAGGAATATTTTTGCTCATTTCCAAATCACAGTGCAGCTTTTCAAACATATACGCATTCCTCCCCAAACACTTTTTTTCCACTTTAAACCCCAGTTGTTACTTTCCCACACCTCTCTGAAAATATTACATTTTTCTAGGGCAGGTATGAGCAAGGAAACAGGCACACTGTCCTGCAGGATGCCACGCACTAGAAAAGGAAAATACCATTCTCTTTCTCTCACCCTGATGGCAAATACAATGCAAGCTGAATTGATAACCACTGTGTAAAAGGAAAGGGAGCAGAGATGGGGAGCATAAGAGATGATGGCAGACCAGAAAATATTTTTTTTGAGGTAAAATTCTAAATGAAGCTAGAGAATAATTTCCAGCTTCCCATATTTGAAGCTCAATGTTGTGTGCCCTATATTTCAGTTTTTAATGTATGAATGTATTTCATTGTCATCCCTAATTCAGACAGCTCCCATATCAAATCCTGAGTGCAAACTGTTAGTCCTTTCAAAAGATAATATCTTGCAACTGTTTACAAAGGAATATACTTCAGTAGGGCAGCCAGATGTCTATAGAGAAGCCATGATAATCATGCTTGAAATTATAATTTACTCTGATCAACACAAAGTACTGTAATGGGACAGGCTTTAGGAGGCATTACTGCTGTCTGTTTCAGTGAAAACAGCCTGTCACACTAAAACCAATTTAAGGTCATGGTATAGCCAGTGGAACTACTTCTAAGCTCCATTGTTTTAAATCTGAGAGATTTAAGTAGGAACTTGACTCTCCTATTCAAATCAATGGGAGTAAATGTTAAGCTTTGCCTAAATTATGCTTTAATTTAATGTAGCTGGCTGGGTGATTTACAGTTAAGGGGGTTATTTTTGTTTTCTGGTTCACAGTAAGGAAAATCAAGTTGTGTTATCCATTATCTTGCTTTTAAATGCAATTTGCTGTTCATTTACCTGAATCCATCTTGATTTGTGTCTGTGAGCTGGCAAGTCCCTCCATTCTGGCATGGATTCTGAATGCATGCATTAATGGGTGTGCTGCAGTCTCGGCCCTATCAAGAAAAGGTCATGACAAATAGTTAGTTTTTTCTCATATGCCACACAGAAGCTTGCTCATTCAGTCTCTCCTGCCTGCATTTTCCAGCTGGAGACACAAAGGATGCCAACTTCAGGATTAGATCACCCACTCTGATCGACTGAAACTACAGATGGGGATGAATTCGAAAAAAAAATCAAATTTTAGGGACAAATCATCGAATATTTGTCAGTTTCTTGTTAAAACAAAACTACCCGCCAAACAGCTGATCATCAGGACTTTGACAAGTAGGCCGGTTGCAGGAACAGAAACTGGGGTTTGTCTTCCCATAGCCAGCCTGCTTGTCAATGTCTCGACTCCTGAACATCAGCTGATTGGTGGGACATTGACAGGGGTTGGACTGGATGATTCACAGGGTATCTTTCAGCTCTGCAGTTCTGGTATCATTATATTATTCAAAAATACCAGACACAGTCAATCAAAATTATAGAAACACTGACTGCTATTATATAACAATTTTTAACCAAAAACCTAAGTATCTGTCAAATACTGGTGCAGTATGTATGCTGTTCCTAATATTGCTGTTTTCTTGTAGCTCTGATGGTGTTATTGTTGTTCAAACACACATCTAAAGTATTCAATAGAAAGTTAATGAAAATGATGAGACTGAAAGGAAGTTTTCAAGATTAAATGATCTTCAGTTCAACAGAGTGGGGTAGTTCTTAAGTGTTTAATCTTTTAAATTGGCAATTGTCAACTTCTCTCACAGAAATAGATGACTGTCATCTGGGAAAATGTGTTAACTGAACAGTGGCACTCTGATATAATAAACAGCTATTGGTACTCAAAAAAAAATGGGAATGGTTTTATAATTAGATCTGAAATATGGACTGGAAAGTATAAATAAAAGAAGTATGAGAATGTCCAAAGGAATGAAGAGAGTAGTAATGATAGATAGTCTGGAGAAATTGTTAGATTGTTTACTTATGTGATTTCCCTTTTTAACATAATTAAGTAAGATGTAAGAATACTCTTTCGCTCTCTGGATTGTTACCCTTTCCCCATCCTTATTCATCTGGCCTTTAATCCCTTGTACCCATAACCTTGCCCTTATTGAAAGTGAATAAAAACTTTATAAAAAATTAAAATAAACAGCTATAGGTATTTCAGAACACTTTGAGAGATTACTCCTAATCCCATCCTGACCTCACTAGAAAAGACCATAGTTCTAATTCCAGGCCAGTGCGCCCATAAAAGGAAAAGGCTCTCTACTTATTTTAATATAAGCTTGCCTTCACGCACATTGAGAAAATTAGCATGTTTTGTATTGCAATGGCTTTGTATGCCTGTATAATGCCTTAGACAGGTAGCCCTAAAAGCCAACCATGTTGTAATAATAGGAAGTGCTCATTTATTTTAAGGTGTTATCTGACCTTCAGAAAGGATCATATTCACAAATATAATGTTATCACCCTGCCCTGTGTTGCTGTTGGTTTATTTTTATGGCATACATGGTCCTTAAAACTTCCTGTACTGTATTTCTTGTTTAGAATATACATATTTTTAAACAAAACACAATACAGTTCCCCAACAAGTTTAACCTTTTTTTCTCGCAAAAAATATTGTCTAGGAGCAGGGGAGCTACTCTGTTTTGGAGGTAGCCATATCCCTATTTTTTATTTGATCTTTTTTTACCCTTTATAAAAGAATTAAATATCCAAATTAGCCTTATTGGTCATATATCTGCCCCTTTTCATTCTTTCCTCTGGGACTGCAGCCCTCAGGTTGCTGGCAAATCTGAGACATGGCCCTTCGCTCTGTTCAGGTTGCCCACCCTGTTGTAATAGGAGGAAGTATTCATTTAATTTAAGGTGTTATCTGATCCTCAGAAGGAATCCCAGGAAGTGGTTTAAGTGTCAGTAGGTAAGGACAGACAGAGATATGTTGGCATGTTGCAAACATCTTACTATTTCACCAGCAGAAATAGTAAGAGGATTTGGACCACTAATCGGAGCTCAAGGAGCCAAATATCAGTTGCTACACTTTCACGTACATCAGCATCCATCTACTGAAGACACAGCACAAGGCAGTGATGGTTGGATAAGTCTAACTTTTTTTTCTTGGTAACAATAACATTCTAAAGTCTTTGTTCAACAGGTGCAGGAATGCAATAGTTTGTGTTTGGGGAATAGGGTCTTGTGTTCAATGTCTATACTGTCCATAAAATCAGCAGCATCTTTCTGAATGTATATAGTATGCACTTTAAAGCATTTGGGAAAGTGAGAGTTGTACACATTATTTTCATGTTGGCCAGAATATAATATGCTCTTGATTACTTGAAGCAGCTCTGCTGGATGACTCTGTGCAGACATGATGCTAGTAGGGAAGAAAGTTTTCCTTCACTGTCACCACTGCCACAAAACAAAACAGGCCTACTAGTGAGTTCTACCTTGTGTTCAGCTGGATACATTCAAAGATTTCGGCCATCATCGCTCTAGTCCAGTGCTTCCCAATCTTGGGTCCCCACATATTCTTGGACAACAAAGCCCAGAAACCCTGGTCAGCGCAGCTAGTGGTGAAGGCTTCTGGGAGTTTTAGTCCAAGAACACTGGGGACTCAAGGTTGGGAACCATTGCTCTAATCTCTCTCCCACTTGTTTCAGCAGAACTGGTAATAAAATATGGCATATCGTCATTGTAAAACTCTGCTGGTGTCTCTGTTATGTGTTAGGTAGCAGGACTGGGGAAGATTGTTTTCCAGTTCCATTAAGCGCATCAAATTCCCCCCAAACTTAAACTCAGTTTTACTTTAGTTCCTCACAAATTTACATGATAGAAGAGTTTTACAGTGAGTATCGCCATACTTTATGACCATTTCTGAGGTGGTTTCCTGAGTGATATTTATCAACTTTTCTTTTATATTCTGTTACTCACTGAGGAGTATGAAGAGTTCTGATTCTCACACCCCCAAGTCATCCACTACTTAATTATAATGGAAACTGATGTATTGAAGTCTCGGACCTGATTCTACTGAATTACAGTAAAATTCCAACCTCACTCCTATTAGTGAGTACTTTCATTTGTAGCAATGCATGTGACTGAGGATCTGTACATTCTATAACTATGAACTATACACTCCAGATAAAGAAATCGTTTTTTAAAAGAAACACTGCTGCTGAGTGATCAATTAAACTGTTTCACCTCTCTTTTGACCAATCTTACTGGGATCAGGATTCCTGACACACATACCCATGTAGCAATTCTCTCCTCCACAGAAGACTTTCTTCATGTATACATCAAACAAGGAACAACAAACGCTTAGAGGGCAGATGTAGGACAATCTATCAAGGTAAAGGAAATAGCTTCCAGATGGATAGCCATGCCTGGTGCTGGCTGCTGAGAAGGAAGCAAGGTATTGTTACTGAATTAGCATGACACGCTGGTGGAGAACAGCTTGGTGCTCCTTTCATTTGGTTCACATTTGAACTTTTCAAATGTCAATTTTGTTCAAAAATCTGGCAGGAGTAGTGGGGTATATGCACGCATTTGCTCAGTTTTTCCTGCATTTCTTGCATTACTTCTTCTTGTACTTGCTGCTGCTATCTCCTCTGTGTCTTCTAGCTGCATAACCTGCATCTAATCCATCCTTCCCTTCTATCCTATCAGAACTCAGCACAAACAGGTGCAACAGAGCTTTGAGAGCAATGTATCTCCCTGTATACATGTAAAATACCCAACACTGCAAGGTATAGTGTAATGGCATGATTCATATCATTTTCTATATCATGATAGCATTTTCTTTGCCCAGGCCCATGGTGCAAAGCATGTTACAACCTCAAAGCAGTCAAAAGGCAAAACTAAGTTTTTGTTCAGTGTAGTAGCCTGGCTGTTGCCATACCTTATAGCCAAATGGGCATGTGCATCGGTAAAAATCCACTGGATCATTGGTGCAAGTCCCGTTATTTTTACAGGGATTGGATAGGCAGGGGTTACACTTGGACACAATACTAATATCCACAGCCCCTGAAAAGAAACAAGTGTAGCGCTGAAAATGTGTCTACAGCTTCAGCTATTTTCAACATACACTGCTGATACATTGTACATTGCTAAAAAAATGTAGCGCTGAAAATGTGTCTACAGCTTCAACATACATTGCTGATACATTGTACATTGCTAAAAAATTTAAGGTAGCTTTGTTCAATGACATAACAGGGCATGATTGGAGATTGGCACACATGTAATATATCAAGACAGTGGCAGCAATTTTATTTTTCCACAAAACCTTCAATACAATTTTAAAAACAATTCAATAAACCTGTGTTGAAATGCGGAACATAAAGCATTGACATTGCTATGGACAATCTAGGAATGAGTATCATTCTGTGGTAGACCCATGATGACTGGTGAGGCAGAGAAATGGAATGCTCACAGATAATGGAGACTGGCACTCTTACGTATGTGTAACAATATTAGTTTACACATGATTAGAAACTAGCTCAAAATGCCCTCTATAGATCTGGGGTTCTAGGATGGTCCCAGGGTTGCAGGAAAGCTGCAGCACCATAGCACTTGGGCTATTCCACAAATATTGCAGCCAAGTAAACAGATGATTTAGGTGTGTGAACACTGGAGTCAAATGATTAGACACAGCCTGGAATATTAATTCTCAGGCTCTAGCTGCATTTAAGTGCAGCGTAAGAACAAGAGAATGGCCTTGAGGCTCTTTGCTGCATAGCAACAATGCACCATGGATGACAGCAGGAAAAGACTGCCAGCAGGAAAAGACTATACCAGAGTATATAAGATCTTGTTAGTACTTTTGATGATTATGCAAATTTATTTTTTGAGCATCATGTTTCCTGTTCACACATACTGTGTTTCCCTGA